TATTCTTATTTTACCGATGTTACATATGGCCTTTTCTCAGGAGACAAGAGTGGCTTTGCACATGGAGAGTACTCAATGTTGGATTGGAGACGCCTTTATGCTTGCGATTCTCCATGCTTTTGGACCGCATTCCAGAAAAGCAAAATCCTAACCATAGTCAAAAATTTCTCCCCAAGGGATCTAAAAAGTACCAGATGGGTCTTAGGAAAACCACTTTGCTCCTGGATAAAGGGCTGCTTAGTCGAGGATCGTTCTCAGGTCATTTTACCGAGTGCGGTGGCCTATTGCTCAGCTCAGAGCATTTCCTGGGAAACTGGCCCAATGGGCTCGCTCTCCGTGTTCGAGCCCCGTCCTCCCAGCCGCCGCGGCCTACATCTCCCCGCATGCACTGCGAAGCCGGGAGGCAGGCTTACGAGAAAGACTGCTACTCAGGGAGCCCGCGGCCGGCGCAGGACCCTCGGACTTCATTTCCCATCGGCCCGCGGAGGGAGCGCCGGAAGCCCGCCCCGCCCCTCATTGTGCGGCTCGTACTAAACGGAAGGGGCCGGGAGAGGCCGCGTTCAGTCGGGTCCCGGCAGCAGCTGCAGCGGCTCTCCTCTTCTCTCGCTCTCCTTGCCATCACACTTTTGCTTCCGGAAACATGGTGAGCGGCAGGCCGCGACGCCTGAAGGGAAGCGGCTGCGGGTCGTTCGCCTGCGCGCGGGAGGCAACGGGGGAGCGACGTCGGCTCCCCCTCCCCCAGCGCCCGGGGCAGGATGAGGGTACCGCACTGAGCGGCGGGCGGCGCCGGGATGCGCGTGCGCGCCCGTGGGCGCCGGGGAAGGCTGGCTTGGACGTCGCTCGCGCGCCCCCTGGACTCCCTTCCCCTCCCCCACTCCGCTGGTGCGCCCGCGCGGACACCGGCCGTTGGGGGAGGGGTCCGGGCGCGCACTCGCGCGCCCCTCGCTGAGTAGCCGGCGTCGCGCGTTTCACGGGAGCGCGCTCCCGGCTAGAGCACGCGGCGTCCAAACCCCTGCCCGGGGGCGGCGAGAGAAAAGCGCGCGAGAGGTCTCGGCGCGCGCGCCCCACCCAAAGGCTGTTCCTGTCTCCGCGTCACCCTCCCTCAGCAGGCAGGCCTGTCTCGAGAGCAGGTGGCAGGGATGCCTGCGCTCGGGAGGGCGGGGATTGACGCGGCCAGCGGGGATGCTGGGACAACGGGGTCCTGGTTGAGGCGCTGGTGTCTCCGACTAGGCGCTTGCACCTTAATGCTTGGAGCGGACACCGCAGAGGCCGCGGCCCTGCTCGGGAGCGAGCGAACCCACAAAGCGAGCTGGGTTCTCGCCTGCATAAAGCGCAAGGGCTGGAACGGCGCTGTCGGCTGGCGCGTGCGCACACGCTCAGGCCCGGCCGCCGGGCCGAAGCCCTGGACAAGCGGGGCCTTCCCGGATGGGGCCTGAGGGTGGAGCCGAGTTTAGGGAAGTGACCCAGGCGGGCGCCGCCCGGAAACCACCCCGCCCCCTGTGTTCGGCCCGAGGGCTGCGAAAACCGAAGGTGGGGTAACTTGCGCAGGCTCCAGCTCGCATCGGACGGGGCTGGTAGGCCTGCTAGTAAAGGCAATACCTGGGGGTTGAGTCTCTGGATGTGTTCTTGACTCTTGAGTATGAGTATCTCTCTTGGGGAGGGGGTCGGGGCTAGCCGATCTTTCCCCGCCCACTCCGGAAGCGGCGGAGTCACGTGGCCGGCTTCCTCTGCAATTCTGGGGGTTGGGGTGAGGAGATTTCACCGTGGACAGTCGCTCCCTCTCCTGGCTAGGGCGTCCACACATCGCAGAGTAAAAGTTCAAAGAGCTCTCACGGACCCTGGGCACTAGAGTTTGGCATGTTGATTTCTATCGGCAACCTTTGGTGTCCCCCCCCCACTCCCCATTCCCGGAAGATAAGGAGTTGTTGGGCAGGGTCCTAATTGATGGTTGTGATGGTAAAAACCCCAGCAGGGAAGAGGGTCGTCTGTGTGATAACAGCATTGAACAGTTCTGATGAACTTGCTGCAACTATTGAGCATGCTGACGTCCCATCTAGTCTTGTAGAGTTCTGAGTCCTCTCCTATCTGAAGCTGCAAGTCTGAACGTTTATCCAAAGGCTGAGATTGAATACTGCGAGTAGCAAATGAGTCAGTAGCTTCACAAGTCTTCAATTTCAAGCCTGTAAAATGAGGGAAGGAAAATGTTGAACTAAGTTATCAATAGTCTTGGCCGTCATTCTGGGGTTGTTCCCTCTGGTTCTTTGACAGTGGTTTGGGTAGGAAAATAGTGACTTGCCTTAGAAAGGGGATTAGTGATTCTTGGAACATGAGGCTGGGGACTGTACTTGTTGGCATCCAGACTGAGATCTCCTGAGAAAGCAAATTATCCTTTTCCTTATGAGGAGTGTGTGGCTTATCCCCCAGGCCTCTGGTGTGGCTGTCTCGGATGGCGTCATCAAGGTGTTCAATGACATGAAGGTGCGCAAGTCTTCAACACCAGAGGAGGTGAAGAAGCGCAAGAAGGCAGTGCTCTTCTGCCTGAGTGAGGACAAAAAGAACATCATCCTGGAGGAAGGCAAGGAGATCCTGGTAGGTGACGTGGGCCAGACTGTCGACGATCCCTATGCCACCTTTGTCAAGATGCTTCCAGACAAGGACTGCCGCTATGCCCTCTATGATGCAACCTATGAGACCAAGGAGAGTAAGAAGGAAGACCTGGTGTTTATCTTTTGGTGAGCTCTTCATTCAGGCATTTCTTCCTGCCACCTGCTCCCTTTTTCAAGATGGGAACTTCTGTGCCTCCTTGTTAACTTTGAGGCATGAGTTTGGGTGGGGAGAGGTTGTAATAAAGCACTTGTCAATACTAGCCCAAGGGTTTCTCAAAGTTATATATTGCTTTTTTATTGCTGCAAGTTCCCTGCTTTTTGTTTCTCAGGGCCCCTGAATGTGCACCCCTTAAAAGCAAAATGATCTATGCCAGCTCTAAGGACGCCATCAAGAAGAAGCTGACAGGTAAGGGCCAGCATTGTTGGTGCCGCCTGGCCTTCTGCTCAGGTCTTGGCTGCAGGGCAGGGTGAATGGTGTTGGCAGAGGGGGTCCTCCTCTTTCTTCCCTGCCTGCTGAGAGGTAACCCTGTCCCTTCCATCTGCTTTCATTGGCTCCTTCCCAGCCACAGAAACTTCCCTGACCCCAGTGCTTCCTGCTCACAGTTGCTCCCTTTTCTTCCCTACAGGGATCAAGCATGAATTACAAGCAAACTGCTATGAGGAGGTCAAGGACCGCTGCACCCTGGCAGAGAAGCTGGGGGGCAGTGCCGTCATCTCCCTGGAGGGCAAGCCTTTGTGAGCCCCCTCCGACCCCCTGCCTGGAGCATCTGGCAGCCCCAGACCTGCCCATGGGGGTTGCAGGCTGCCCCCTTCCTGCCAGACCGGAGGGGCTGGGGGGATCCCAGCAGGGGGAGGGCAATCCCTTTACCCCAGTTGCCAAACAGTCCCCCCACCCCCTGGATTTTCCTCCTCCCTCCATCCCTAACGGTTCTGGCCTTCCCAAACCGCTTTTGATCTTCTGATTCCTCTTGGGTTGAAGCAGACCAAGTTCCCCCCAGGCACCCCAGTTACCCAAGTTGGGGGGGCCTGTATTTTTTTTAACAACACCCCTACTCCTCACCTGTTCCATCCCTTCCCATGCTGCCAACTTCTAACCGCAATAGTGACTCTGTGCTTGTCTGTTTAGTTCTGTGTATAAATGGAGTGTTGTGGAGATGACCCTTCCTTTTTCTCTGGTCAGCCACTCATGGAAGCAGGACCAGTAAGGGACCTTCGATTAAAAAAAAAAGACACAAAAATAAAGAGGCTCATTAATGGGGTGTTCATTTCAGGGTTGGGGCCCCGGAGACCTTGCAAGGAGGGGGGGTAGGTTGGGAGAATGAACAGTATCTCTTTTCCATGCCCCACTGCCTCCCAATCTGGCCCCAGTGACTGGCTGAGACTCCCTGTGATGGTCACCACTCTTCTCTAGTTGCTGCATTTGGGGCCAGGTTGGCTATTAAGGTGCAGGGGGAGGCTGAACCCAGGGTGTGTCCTCTGCTGGTCGCAGGGGTTCCTCAGGCAGAAGTGTCTTATGCCTGAGCTGGTTGCTTCTGTAGCTTCACCTGGGTTGGCAGTAAGGACCACTTTGATACCCTGCTCAGTACTGCCCAGGTATGGGCTGATGTTATAGGTCACAGGTTGCCTATTAAGCTACTTTCTCCACCTTCAGGGTTCTGTTTGGTCTTTCCTATCTCCTTCCCTGGATGGCTGACTCACATTTATGAGGACCAAGTTCAGTGGCTTCTGTGAGTCAGAGGCCAAGTTGAGCCTTTGGGCCTTCTGTTGATGTGGCTGGAGTCCATTCAGGGTGGGGCCAGCTAGGTGGAGCCCAGGACTTCAGACCCAAGTGTCTTGAGCCCCACCTCCCTGTATTTAACCAAGAGGGTGCTTGCTGGTGCCTTGAGCCTTTTGCTGGTGTTGTTCTGAGCTATCTCCAATTTGTACTTTGGGCTTTCACCTACCTGCCCAGCAGGCAAAGGCATCCAAGAGTTCTGGCCCTTGGGTGAGGTGAATTGGTAATGTAGGATTTATTCCTTCTCTAATCCAGTGAACTGAAAAATGAGAGCCTTCTGGAGTGAGAGCGGGTTCCTTATCTCCTTGGAGCTTGTGATCAGCTCGGGGAGGGAGGAACAAAGAGTAGATCCATTTTCCTGGCTGGGGAAATAGGTGTAGAGAATTTGGGTTTATTGTTAAACATACGGTCTCTGTCAGGGTTTAATGGGTGGGGCAAACTTCTGGGTCCCAAGTTCTGGGTGTTGCACCTTTCCATGGAGAGCCAGCTGCCACTAGAGAAGGGGCTGAGAGTGCTGCAGGGGGTGTGCTCCTTTGTGTCCCCAGGATCTGGTCTTGCCCTGGCAGAGTATGTGATTGGTGGGCGCCTTAGCTGTGGTAAATAAAGACAAGCACGCCCCCTTGCTACAAAACCAGGCTCTTTATTTGTGAAGAACAGGCTGAGCAAATAAGCTACTTCTCCAACACCAGAGGGGGTTAAAGGCTGTTCCTCAGCCTCCTGGGAAGGAAAGTCAAGGTCCCTGGAGCCCTGCTGAAGTGTGGCCAAGTACGGGTGCCCATGCTGCCCTTTCTCTTGTAGGGCCTGGCACCTTTGGGAGGGGTGGGGTGAGGAAGGAAGGCTAGTGACTGCTGTGGTAGGGAAGGAAGCATCTTGCTGGGGAGGGAGGCCTGGGAGGCCCTTGTCACTGAAGGTCCCAGAGCAGGGTCTGGGCTGCTCTAAGGCTCCCCCTTTAGGGCAACAAGGGTGTTCCGGAGAAGCAGGGTGCTGGCCTGTAGAGAAAGTTCCTTGAAGTCCCCTGCTCCCTGAGACTGGGTGCTGTTCTTTCCACCTTAGATACCTCTTGGGGCCCTTCCCTCCCTCATGCCCTGCCCTGCAATAACATTTGTCATTTATTGCTACTTCCTACCAATGAGGAAGAGAAGAGAGGATTCCGGGCCCAAGATGGGGAAACATGGCCCTGAACCTGGGCTAGGGCTGCTCTCCTGGCCCCAGGGAAGGGAGGTGGGGAGGCCTCACCTTGGCATGTTTGAGCTCCAGCTCTGCCAACTCAATGAGGTTCTTGCGGAAAGAAGAAACACGGCGGGACTTGAAGTCCATGAGCTCTGGACAGAAGAGGGAAGAGGAATGGTGATCCAGGCAGGGTAGGTGGCCCAGTGGCTAGGGACTGCTGGCTCACCCTGCTTGGCAGAGTCAGAGAGACGTTCAAAGCGTTGGCAGCACAGCTGCTGGTGGCTCTCCGCAGGCTGCACCTCCCGGTTCCTGGTGCGTGCCCTGTCCAGCGCCTTGTTGGCATTCTCATAGTCAGCCAGTGCCCGCAGCCTCCGATACAGTAGGTCCTAGGGCCAGTGGGCACAGGGTGACTGCTGCCCTCCCCAGTTGCTTGTCCCCAGTATGGCCTCCAGCCCTCTGCTCTCTGCTGTGGATGGCCTCACCTTGGCTGCCTGTGAGTCTCGCATATAGTATCTCAGCATGTCTGACAGCTTCAGGTCCTCATCAGAAGCCACCCTGCCCTCCAGCTTCTGTGTGAGGAAGGTAGGGAGTGGGAAGGGAACTTGCTAGAGGAGCTGCTAAGGGATGGGAAGCTCCTCTTTATCTAAATGTCCAGCAAAGAACCATATGCCCACTCTAAGTCAGGGTCCGATGTTCAGGAGGCCTAAAGTAGAAGCTAAGCACTTTGGGCTGTGTGTCTCTGGTAGCTTCTGAAAGGGGCAGCACCCCTCAAGGGCTTAAGCAGTGAAGAGATGCTGTCCAGACATTTTAGGAAGACTGGCACACTGCCCAGTGACTTTCTTGGAGAAGAGTTCTGGAAGTGTGCCTCTGGGCAGCACCTGGGCGCAGCCTGCCAAAGGCACGTGGCACATCCTTGCACCTCCTCCCCCATCACATGCACACGTGGGACTGGACCCTTGTCTCCACTCCACCTGTTATTAAACCAGTCTGGAGTGTGAGTGCAGGGTAGCACTGGGCCTGAGTTATCACTTAACATTCCAAAGTGATGCTGGAGCTTTCCCCTCTCCTAGGACTCATTTTCCTGGCAAGGGCTCAGGAAAGCCTTTGGGCACAGAAGGCAGCACTCACCCTCAGTCGTTCAAAGAGCTCTGCCAGTTTGAGGAAGCTCCTAGGAGGCGGTGAGGAGGAGTTAGGGCAGGGGGCTGAGAAACAGCACAAAGCTGCTCTGCCCTCAGCCCCTCCTTGAGGAATCTCCCTTTCCCCTTTCTCTCCTGAGCCCCCAGCAGGAAAGTCTACACTTCCCACCTAGGACTTGTATAGAGTGAGCCGTGGGCAGGCACAGGGAGAGGGGGAGGGGTGATGGTAAGAGGGAGTCCTCACGTCTTTAGCTGGTTGACTTCCTGTGTTCCCAGACTGCTCAGCGCAGCTGAGATAGGGATATAATCGTCTGCCAGGCCTGTTGGGGAACAATCCCCCATCAGAGCCCCTAGGTTTGCACATCAAGCCCCACCCCTGGTGTTTGTGGCCGAGGACAGACACCAGGGTGTTTCCTGCTCTCTTCTCTCCCCCAGGGAATAGAGCCACTGGGGAGAGGGGCAGGGGGATCCAGGGTCCCTTGGGCCCTGCATACACTTGTGGGAGCGCATGACACGGTCGGCCCTCAGGCAGGCATCTCGGATACGAGTATGGTACTCCAGCAGGAAGGTCCTCTCATGCTCAAAGAAGTCATCCACTTCCTAAGGGAGCCAGACAGGACCCTGCTTATACTGGGTCACCAGGAGCATGACAGCATGGGCACCCAGGGGTGACCCCACTGGTGACTTCCTTCCCACAGCAATCCTGGGCCTCAGTCCTCAATGTGGACATGAGGCCCTGGGTCAAGTCCAGAGACGGGGGCCCAGGTGTTACCTTGAGCCCTGACATGCCAGTGATGAGAGCTTCATCTGCAGATTTCACAATATTCCTCAGAAACCCCCCAAGGAGCTCCTTCCTGTTCTTTCCTCTGACACTCAGCTGAGGCACACAAAGGGAGGGAGTGACACTGGGTCGGGTGTTTGCACCTCCCATCCCAAGTCACAGGCCGCTCACAGAGCTGACAGAAACAGAGACTTAGCCTACTTGGAGCCCTTCCCCAGCCCTGCTACCCCCTGCCCCACCACCTCAGACCCTTGCCCCGAGGGTGACCCCGGCACTGTGGCCCAGCTCACATCCTGTCCATATTCCAAAAAGACAAAGAAGTTGTGGTCTCGACGCAGGGTCGGGTGGGCTGCCAGACGCTGCAGAAAGACTTCATGCATCGCAACTGTCTTCTTAAAGATAGCCAGGTACTCCCTGCAGGGCGGCAGGCAGCACTTGGGCCTCCTCATCGTCCTGCCTGCCCCCATCCCCTCAGCAGGAAAGGAGGTGGCACTCACGCTTCTAGCTCCTGCTTCATTTTGGCAAACTCCTCCCGAGTGATGGAACTGTCCCCCTCGCCCAGCTTCTGCAGCTTTTCCCTTGAAGCCTCGAAGTCTGGCCTTGGAGGGGCTGGGGGGATCTGCTCAAAGGAGGGACAGAGCTGGGAAGACTCTCACTGCCCAGGCGGCCTCACCCAAGTGCCTGCAGCTGCCCTCCCCACCCGCCCGGCCCCTCCTCACTATGAGGCCAGCGTACTCCTCATTCTCCACATAGGCGTCGTGCAGCCAGATGAACTCCTCGTGCTGCCGCACAACTGAGAACTCGGTCTGGGCGAAGTGAGGGAGGCAGCTCTGGAAGCGGGAGTCCCATGTGAGGTCCCCCTCCCACCCCAAGCCTGCCTCATCAAGCCTCTTGGACACTTTTGGGCCTCCCCACCCCTCATCCTAGGTGAGGCCCAAGCTGGGGCTTATGGGTCCATGATTTCACTCGGGTTGGCAAAAACGGATGGTTAAGATTTAGGGCCTCAGGCAAAGGCAACCTCAGACTAGACAAACTCACTCTCTAGGAGGTGCTGTGTTGGCACAAGCCTACCACCCCCGGGGAGCAGCCCTCTGCAAGCAGTCATCTGGACCCCTCTGCTCACCCTGTGCTGCCTTACCTTGGTCTGCACGGTGAATTTCACCTTGTCCCGCTCACTCACTGCGTCAGAGATCTCCACCTGTAAGGAGCTGTCTCCCTGCAGATCCACCAACGTGGAGGAAGGCTGCGGGGGACAGGAGTTCTCTGACCTGACTGAGCACCGCCCCTTGGCCCATCCTGGCATGGAGGAGGGCCTTCTGGTCCTCCTGTGGACCCCTCCTCAGCAGCAAGGAAGGCCTGTGCAGTGCTCCAGAGTCACCAGCCAGGGATCCTGACGAGCCACTGCTCTCAGCTTTACAACTACAAAAGCATTCTTTGCCCTTCTGTCCCTGGAGGAAGGCAGAATGCCCCCCATTTTACAGATGTTGAAGTTGAGACCACCAGAGAGGTGAAGTAACGTCTCTAAAGTCACACAGCTGGAAAGCAACAGGTCTGATTTGAACCCAGTTTCTTGATTCCCGACCCAATGTACTTTCTCAGCTACCCACCCACCCCTGCCTCAGCGGGCTGCCTCGGGTTCCCCTTCAAGAGGGCTGAGCTGGATGCAAAGTCCCCACCTCATTTGAGGGGTTGCAAAACCATTCCATTCACTACTTTTGGTGCCACAGAGGCAACAGCCCACAGGCAAAGCATGTGTATTTCTCCAAGTGAAAAGATCCATGAGGCACCAAGCTTCTACCTAGTCCATTCTTGCACTGAGCTATTCAACATGCATTTATCAAATTCCTACTGTGTCCACACCATTGTGCCAAGCTATACTAAGGAGAAGGGAAGCGGCTTAGGAACTACTCTACCTTTAACCATTCTATCCTCCACTGGCTTTGGCACACTTTGGAGATGGGCCCTGAGATGGGGCTCAAGGACACGTGGATCCAAACACAGGCAAGGCTCTAACGATGGTGCATCTGGCACTGGTTTAGTGATTTCTCCCCCCTAGCCTGAGATGCCTGAGCCTGTCTCTCCTCCTGGCTCTCTCCCAGGAAGGAACTGCCACTGGGGTTGCTTACAGGGTTACTCCTTTTTTTTGAGACAGGCTCACTCTGTTGCCCAGGCTAGAGTGCCATGGCGTTAGCCTTGCTTACAGCAACCTCAAACTCCTGGGCTTAAGTGATCCTCCTGCCTCAGCCTCCCAAATAGCTGGGACTACAGGCATGTGCCACCATGCCTGGCTAATTTTTTCTATATATTTTTAGTTGTCCAGATAATTTCTTTTTTTAGTAGAGACGGGGTCTCCCTCTTGCTCAGGCTGGTTTCGAACTCCTGACCTTGAGCGATCCTCCCACCTTGGCCTCCCAGAGTGCTAGGATTACAGGTGTGAGCCACTGCACCCGGCCTCCTTTTTGCTTTTTAATTTAATGTTGAAGTAACATACAGTAAAGAGCATAAATCTTCAGTGTAAAGCACAATTATTCTGTACATACATATATACCTCTGCAACCACCCAGCAATCATGATAGACACCTATTTCTAACACTCCAAAAGTCTTCCTCTTGCCCCACCCCAGAAAATTACTCCCCTGCCCCAGCCCCAGGCTACCCACTATTCAGACTTCTATCACCTTAGATTACTCTGGCCTATTCTTTTTTTCTTTGAGACAGAGTCTGGCTCTGTTGCCTGGGCTAGAGTGCGGTGGCATCAGCCTAGGTCACAGCAACCTCAAACTCCTGGGCTCAAGAGATCCTACTGCCTCAGCCTCCCGAGTAGCTGGGACTACAGGCATGCGCCACCGTGCCTGGCTAATTTTTTCTATATATATATTCTTAGTTGTCCAGATAATTTCTTTCCATTTTTAGTAAAGACGGGGTCTCACTCTTGCTGAGGCTGGTCTCGAATTCCTGACCTTGAGGGATCCTCCCGCCTTGGCTTCCCAGAGTGCTAGGATTAGAGGCATGAGCCACGGCACCCAGAGACAGAGTCTCACTCTGTCGTCACCTGAGCTAGAGTACAGTGGCATCATCATAGCTCGCTGCAACCTAGAACTCCTGGGAGCAAGTGATCCCTTCTCCCTCAGCCTCCCAAGTAGCTGGGACTACAGGTGTGCACCACCACACCTAGATAACTTTTTTTTTTTTTTTTTGAGACAAAGTCTCACTCTGTTGCCTAGGCTAGAGTGCTGTGGCATCAGCCTCGCTCACAGCAACCTCAAACTCCTGGGCTCAAGCAATCCTGCCTCAGCCTCCTTAGTAGCTGGGACTACAGGCATGTGCCACCATGCCTGGGTAATTTTTTTCCTATATATTTTTAGTTGTCCAGCAAATAATTTCTTTCTATTTTTTTGTTTAGTAGAGACGAGGTCTTGCTCTTGCTCAGGCTGGTCTCGAACTCCTGAACTCAAACAATCCATCCACCTTGGCCTCCCAGAGTGTTAGAAATACAGGCATGAGCCACTGCACCCAGCCTGATTGATTTTCAAATGTTATACCACCTTGCATTTCCGGAAGAAGGCCTTGCTCACAAACTATTATATTTTTATGTATTGCTTATTCAACTTGATAATATTTTATTGATGATTTTTACATCTATGTTTATGAGAAATATTAACATGTATTTTTCCTTTCTTGTAGTTCTTGACAGTTTTTTCTATTGTGATAAAATACACATAATTAAAAGTTACCATTTTAACCATTCTTAAGTGTATAGTTCAAGTGGCACAGAGTGCATTCACAATATGTGCAATCATCACCATGATTCGTGTCTTGTTTTTTTTTTGAGACAAGGTCTCACTCTGTCACCCAAGCTGGAGTGCAGTGGTGTGATTAGAGGTCACTGTAGCCTCAAACTCCTGGGCTCATGTGATCCTCCTGCCTCAGCCTCCCCAGTAGCTAGGACTATAGGCACATGTCACAATATCCGGCTAATTGTTTTAATTTTTGTAGAGAATGGAGTCTTGCTATGTTGCCCAAACTGGTCTTGAACTCCTGGCCTCAAGCGATCCTCTCACCTCCTGCCTCAGCTTCCCAAAGTGCTGGGATTATAGGCATTAGCCACTGTGTCTGGCCCATATCGCCTTTTAACAAACTTTTGTATCAAGGGTATGCTGTCCTCCTAAAGTAAGCTGGGAACTGTGCCTTCTATTTCTGATTTCTGGAAGAATTTGTATAAGAATGGTATTATTTCTCTTTTAATGTTCTGAAGAATTCACCCATGAATTTGTGCTTAGAGAGATATTTTTGGAAAAGTTTTAAATTACAGATCCAATTCCCATAATATGCATAGGACTACACAGATTTTTCTACTTCTTGGTTCAGGTTTGATAAGTTCCATTTTTCAAGGAATTTTTCTATTTCATTTAAATTATCTAATTTATTTATAATTGTCCACATATACTTTTTTTTTTTTGAGACAGAGTCTCACTTTGTTGCCCAGGCTAGAGTGAGTGCCGTGGCGTCAGCCTAGCTCACAGTAACCTCAAACTCCTGGGCTCAAGCGATCCTGCTGCCTCAGGCTCCCAAGTAGCTGGGACTACAGGCATGCGCCACCATGCCCGGCTAATTTTTTCTATATATATTGGTTGGCCAATTAATTTCTTTCTATTTATAGTAGAGACGGGGTCTCGCTCTTGCTCAGGCTGGTTTTGAACTCCTGACCTCAAGCAATCCGCCTGCCTTGGCCTCCCAGAGTGCTAGGATTACAGGCGTGAGCCCACTGTGCCCGGCCTTATATATACTTTTTTATGTCTGCAGCATCTCTAGTGATGTTCCCTTTATAGTTTCTGATATTGGAAATTAGTATTCTCCCTCTTCCTCCCTCTCTGTCTCTCTCCCACTCTCTCTCATTCTCTCTTGTATCAGTCTTGCTACAAAAAAAATTTAAAAACTAGCCAGGTGTGATGGTGTGCACCTGTAGTCCTAGCTATTCTGGAGGCTGAGGTCGTTTGAGCCTGGAAGCTGGAGGCTGCAGTGAGCTGTGATTGGACCACTGCATTCCAATCTGAACAATAGAGGGAGACCCTGTCTTAATTAAAAAATATATATATGTGTGTGTGTGTGTGTGTGTGTGTGTGTGTTTGTGTGTATGCATGTGGAGGCATAAATTTCCCTCCTGACACTGCCTTAGCTGTTTTTGTGGGTTTGTTTGTTTGTTTTTGAGACAGAGTCTCACTTTGTTGCCCAGGCTAGAGTGAGTGCTGTGGCATCAGCCTAGCTCACAGCAACCTCAAACTCCTGGGCTTGAGCAATCCTGCCTCAGCCTCCTGAGTAGCTGGGACTACAGGCATGAGCCACCATGCCAGCTAATTTTTTCTATATATATTAGTTGGCCAATTAATTTCTTTCTATTTATAGTGGAGACGGGGTCTCGCTCTTGCTCAGGCTGGTCTCGAACTCCTGACTTCGAGCAATCTGCCCGCTTCGGCCTCCCAGAGAGTTAGGATTACAGGCGTAAGCTACCGTGCCTGGCCTGTTTCTCATGAGTTTTGATAAGTCATATTTTCATAATCTTTTTTTTTTTTTTTCTTTTTAGAGACAGGGTCTTGCTCTTGCTCAGGCTGGTCTCGAACTTCTGGCCTCAAGTGATCCTCCTGCCTCAGCCTCCCAGAGTGCTGGGATTATAGGCATGAGCCACTGTACCCAGCCATAATCATTTATTTGAAAATAGTTTCTAATTTTCATTATAATTTCTTCTTTGATTTACGAGTTATCCAGAAGCTTGTTACTTAATCTCCAAATATTTTAGAATCTAGTTATTCTTTTGTTTTGATTCCTAGTTAATTCTGGGTCAGAAAATATACTCTATATGATTTTGATCTTTTAAAATTTGTTGACTGTGTCCACTCAGGGACACCAAAAAAATTTTTCTGATACTTGTATTATAGCCCAACATATAATGTATTTTGGTAAATGTTTCATGTGCACTTGAAAAAAATGTGTTTTCTAGGCCGGTCACGGTGGCTCACACCTGTAATCCTCGCACTCTTAGAGGCCGCGGCAGGAGGACTGCTTGAGCTCAAGAGTTTGAGACCAGCCTGAGCAACAGCGAGACCCCATCTCTACTATAAATAGAAAGAAATTAGCCAAACAACTCAAAACAGAAAAAATTAGCCGGGCACGGTAGCGCATGCCTGTATTCCCAGTTACTTGGGAGGCTGAGACAGGAGGATCCCTCGAGCCCAGGAGTTTGAGGTTGCTATGAGGTAGGCTGACGCCAAGGCACTCTAGTCCAGGCAAGAGAGTGAGACTCTATCTCCAAAAAAAAAAAAAAAACAACAAAGGAAAAGAAAAAAATGTGGTTTCTATACTTGTTGGGTATAAAGCCCTACATGAGTCAATTAGTTCTAGTTGATTAATTGTGTTATTTAAATCTTCTAAATCCTTGCTGATTTAGTTATTGACTGTTGTGTTAAAATCTCTATCTGTAACTGTCCATTTCCCCTTTTAGTTCTATCATCTTTTATTTTGCATATTTTGAAGCTATGTGATTGATGCATATACATTTAGGACTGTTTTATCTTTCTATGGAATCAATTATTTTATCAGTATAAAATGTCCCTCTTTATTTCTAGCAATACTTCTTGACAGTCTACTTTGTATGAAATTAATATAGCCATACCAGTTTTCCTTTGGTTAATGTATTCATGGTGTATTTTTTCCCACCCTTTTATTTCAACCTTTTTGTGTTCTTATATTTAAAGTATGTCTCTTTTAACAAACTATAGTTATTTTTTTCAAAATCCAATATGACAATTAAAAAAATTAGAATGTTTAGTCCATTCATAATTACAGTAATGACTGATAAAGCAGGCTACAAACTTGCCATCTTGTTTTTTGTTTTCTCTTGTTCAATCTGTTTTTATTCCTTTATTCTTTCTTTTTTTGTCTTCTGTTGAATTAATCAAATATTATTTTATTTCATTTTCTCCTCTATTATATTTTTACCTAAAATTCTTTTCATATCTCTACATTTAAAGGAGGATTTTTGTTTTTTAGACAGAGTCTCACTCTGTTGCCCAGGTCGGAGTGCCATGGCATCAGCCTAGCTCACAGCAACCTCAAACTCCTGGGCTTAAGCAATCCTACTGCCTCAGCCTCCTGAGTAACTGGGACTACAGGCATGCACCACAATTCCTGACTAATTTTTTCTATTTTTAGTAGAGAGTGATGTCTCACTCTTGTTCATCCACCCTCAAGCCATCCTCCTGCCTTGGCCTCCCAGAGTGCTAGGATTACAGGCGTTAGCCACTGTACCCGGCCTAAAGGAGAGTCTTAATAGAAAGCAACACTTAACCTATAGGGTAAGTATTAATAGTGGACTTTCAGAGAGTACGGCTCCTACAAAGGGTACAGGCACAGTTCAATAGCTCAACACATCCTAAGAACATATAGTATTCCACAGGATAACAGTAATAAAAACAATAACAACAATATAGCTAACATTTGTATTTGCTCTTGCAATATGCTATAAGTACTACTCTAACCATTTTATATAGGCTCTAAGCATTTTGTATATATTAACTAAGTTAACCATGCATATTAACAGAGATAAACACAGAAGCAGACACTTTCTGTTCCATGTTTTGTGTCTCTCAGCTCCTCCTGCCCCCCAAGCTCCACTTGAACCCCACTTCTCACTTCTTGGCTTCTCCCACACTCCTAAGGCAGTCTCTCAAACCCAAACCCACGCAGTCTGGCTCCTTAGTGTGGTAGGCCCCCTAGTCCCCAGCCTCCTTCTTGCTATCTTAGTCTCTCTGGCCCACACTGATTGGTAGCTGTTTGAAGGAGATGGGACCTCAAGGATACACCACAGATTCTCCATCTTCATCCTAAGCCACAGCCCACTATGCATATGCCTCCAAGCCCCAAAAGTGTGTACCTCTGCATACACTAACCATCCTTGGCACAATGTAGATGCCCCATAACTCTTTAAGAGTTGAATGGGGTTGAAAGGAAAGAATGAAGAATGAATGGTCTCATGATTATATGAACACAGAGGCACAAATGAAGCCATTAGTGCTGAACAGCACTCCCCCACCTCCAGAAAGGAGGAGAGGGCTCCCCTTCTCAATCCCTAATATCCTGCCCTCTCCTTTTTTCCCATCGAGCCAGCATGAGTTGGTCCTGGGGAGGGAAGGAGTGACAGTGACTGATCCCTTTCCATCTGTCAGGACGAGGGTAAAACCCTGCCTCCCTTGACATCCTTACCAGTCCCAATACAAGAGGCGTCCCACCCCCTTGCTCAGGTCTTCTTCTCACACACACACACACACACACACACACACACACACACACACACACACACACACACACACACATCTCTAATTGGGTATTATGGAGTGAGGGAGAGGTTAGGAAGGGTTTTTCATCCTTTCCTTACCTTGATCTCCTTCCCAGCCTCCTGATGCTCCTCCATCGCTCTCCTCGGCTGCAGCACACAAGGATTCTACAGCCAGCCCTGCCCGCGCGCTCCGGCAGCTTAGTCCTCCCTAATTCGCCCTGGAGCGAGTGGGCATCCTACCAGCTGACGGAGACACTGCCTCTCCCTGCCAGGGAGTCACCTGGAGTCCGGGGTGGCTCCCACCCGTCCCCGCAGCCGCGCCTTTTGATTGGGTACCAGGATTATCATGCGCGACGCCATTGGCTGCAGTGTGTGTCCACGTCCCAGCTTTTCAGGGACTGCGCGAAGCAGAGAGTGGGCCTGGAATAGACAAGAGCGTGGGTTCGGGGACCGGGGCTGTAAGGTCGCAGGGGTCGCGTGCCATGTGTCCCCCCAGCCACAGCCCCCCGGCTGGCAGACCCCCACACGCCGCAGTTCCCGGCCCCGCCTTCCAACGGCCACGTGCGGCCCGCGCGTGCGCACTAGCCCAGTCTGGGGCCCACCAGGCGGTGGGCGGGGTGGTGGGGAGGAGGTTGAGGGGGGAGGGGGGAAGAGGGTGAGGGTGGGGAAGAGGGCGAGGGAGGCAGGCTGGAAGGGGGAATGAAGAGCGGGGCGAGAGCAAGGGGCGAAGCTTATGGAGAAAGGGGTTACGGTAAGGTTTGCGCACATGGGTGTGAGGGAGCGGCGGGGTAAGCAGCTTAAGCGGACGAAGGAGCGCGACGGGGCCAGCAGCCGCGGCGCTTCAACCCAGGCGCGGAGCCGCGGGCGGTCGCCGCTGGAGCGGAGCTACAAGAAGGCGCCGGGGTTTCGAGAGAAAGTGTGGGTACCTTGGAACGGGCTCATCGTGATTGGGAAGAGAGTAGAGCTCCTGGGTAGAAACACGCCAAAGCCTAGGATGGGGGACCGGAAGCCTGATTCTGAGTACTGGGCAATGGAAGATGTGGAAAAGATTGTCTTGAGAGAGAAGCCAGATCCAACTGAAGAAAGTATGAATGTGAAGTTACTGCACGGTGTCGCCGATGCATCAGAAGCTTCAGCAGATTTGGGGAAAGACAGCCCAAAGAAGATTCGGGGAAAGCAAGAGGTCAAACGCAAAATAGAGGCTGAATCTAAGAGTGCAGGCACGACAGCAGGGTCTAGGAGGGGGTCTAGGATTGGAGAGAATGTGAGGTCTACCAGGGAGGTTGACACCAATGGAGAGGACTTGAGGTCCAGAGGACATAAAATGGGGCCGAATGAGAAGAAGCTGAGGTCGAGTGGAGAAGAGCTGAGGTCCAGTGGAGAGAAGCTGAGATCCAGTGGAGAGAATGTGAGACTGAGCCGAGAGACGCTAAGATCTAGTGGAGGGAATCTGGTGTCCAGTGGAGAGAAGCTGAGATTGAGTGGAGAGAAGCTGAGATTGAGTGAAGAGAAGCAGAGATCGAGTGGAGAGAAGCAGAGATCGAGTGGAGAGAAGCTGAGATCGAGTGGAGAGAAGCTGAGGTCGAGTGGAGAGAAGCTGAGGTCGAGTGGAGAGAAGCTGAGATCCAGTGGAGAGAAGCTGAGATCCAGTGGAGAGAAGCTGAGGTCTAGTGGAGAGAAGCTGAGGTCGAGTGGAGAGAAGCTGAGGTCGAGTGGGGAGAAGCTGAGATCCAGTGGAGAGAAGCTGAGGTCGAGTGGAGAGAAGCTGAGGTCGAGTGGAGAGAAACTGAGGTCGAGTGGAGAGAAGCTGAGGTCGAGTGGAGAGAACCTGATATCAAGTAGGGAGAAGCTGCAATCGAGTGGAGAGAAGCTGAGGTCCAGTAAAGAGGATTTGACATCCATTGGAGATAAGCTGGGATCTGCTGAGAACGATTTGGGGACCAGTGGGGAGAAGTTGGAGCATTCAAGAATGGACAGCATAAATGAAGTGGAAACTGAAAAAGTGGTAAAAGCTATTACTGATGAAAGATTGGTAGAAATTACTGATGATGAGATGGAAGTTCCTTTTGAAAGAGTTAAAAGGAGTGATGAACTAGAAAGGACTGAGGAAGAGGTGGAAGTTGAGGCGGACGTCGTGGATGAAGTCAAAGATATTACTGATGATTCTGTTAGTATGGAAGAGAAAGACATAGGTGAGGATACCAGTGCATGAGGAAGATGAAGGATTGAAACTAAAGAAGGAAAGAGATACAGACAGGTGAAGTACAGAAAATCAAAGAGGAGAAATCAGAGCCAAGCAGAACATTATTGATCCTGAAGGGGTAAAGATGAGAGAGGGAAGGAGAGAGACTGAGCCTACAAGAAGAAAGAGTGAAGAGATGCTGGGGATAAAGGCAGAGGCCAGAACCAAAGGAAGTGAGGGAGAGTGGCACGGAGGAAAATGGCAACCTTTGGAGGAGAAAGACAAGATTTGGTGAGGTGTTGAACAGAGAAGAAAATGGGCTATTGGTTATGGGAGAAGAGCTCTGACTGAGGACCTTATAGGGAAATGTTTTAGAGATGGATTGAGGATGGACTAGAAGGATTTAGTCTAATGCATGATGGGTATATGAAATGTAGGAAAATTACATCAGGATCAAAGGTAGATTTTGAGGGTTGTGGAATAACGTGCAGGCTGAGGTGAGCAAAATGATTGAAAGAGGATCCCAAAGAATGAAGGGCTCAAAATGACAAAAGCAAGAGGAGAGGAGATAAGAAAGAAGTGAAGAAAAAAAGTAAGAAGCCATATCCCGTAATGGTGATTGTGTTTGTTGGGTTTTCAAGTTGTTTCCTTCACTATTTCTGTATTCTCTCCCATGTAGCCGATTTTACCATCTAACGTGACAGGCTTCTGGCAGGGTCCTATATATCTGGACCAAGCTCATCTTCACTGATCTTCCTTCTAAGTAGCCCCAAAATTGTGTCCAGAATAATTGTGGGGCTCCACTATCTTATTGATAATAACTTCACCATGATTGCCATTTCCACAGGTTCTTCTCACCTCCACATCAAATTTCAGTTGCTCGTGCTTAATTTGAAGTTTTTGATTATTTGCACCTACATTATTTCCATCTTTGACTTTTAATTATTTATTTAATCACATGGACTTTTCCACAGGTTCCCTTTGTCTCCCTGGGAGCCTTCTTTTATGTCTTCCACACGCTATCTACCTTCTACACTCACCCCAGGGAAGAGAGAGGACTTTGTGAGTGCCTCCTGTCAAGACTTCAGCGTGAAGACTTAGGCTCCTATATCCTGTTTATCTCTTGGTTAGGGTTGTAAGAGGGGGCTAAAAGGAATCCTGGGGAGATAGGACAAAAGGAACATTTTACTGTCCTTTCTTCTCTGTGTACACTTTCTTTCTTTGTTTTGAAGGGGGAAGGGGAGGGGGCAGGGTCTGGCTCTGTTGCCCAGGCTGGAGTGCAGTGGCTGTTCACAGGCATGATCATAGCACACACTACAGGCTGGAACTCCTGGCTGAGCTCAAGTGATCATCCCACCTGAGCCTCCCAAGTAGCTGGGACCACAGGCACGTGCCAACATGGCTGGCTGCAAATTTCCAAGGAGTAGCAACTTTGTCATTTCATAACATAACACAAGTATCATAACACAAGTTTATAATAGCCTCATGGTTTTTGTTTGTTTGTTTTGTTTTTGTTTTTTGAGACAGTGTCTTGCTTCATTGCCCAGGCTAGAGTGAGTGTCATGGCGTCAGCCTAGCTCACAGCAACTTCAAACTCCTGGGCTTAAGCAATCCTTCTGCCTCAGCCTCCCGAGTAGCTGGGAGGCAGGCATGCACCACCATGCCCAGCTAATTTTTTCTATATATATTAGTTGGCCAATTAATTTCTTTCTATTTATAGTAGAGATGGGGGTCTCAATTTGCTCAGGCTGGTTTCAAACTCCTGACCTTGAACAATCCGCCCGCCTTGGCCTCCCAGAGTGCTAGGATTATAGGCGTGAGCCACCGCGCCCAGCCAGCCTCCTGTTTTATAATGGTTAAATTTTCTACATGTTTTTAGCCCAATACTACATATTGGGCTAGTTTTCCTCAAAGGCTTCAAAAGATCTGTACACTCCCTTGCTTTTTGTTGTTGTTGTTGTTGGATTTGTTGTTGTTTGTTTGAAATTTCCTTCTTGGAGTCATTTATGCTCTGAGTCTAATGTAGAGTGGCCTTCTAGGCTTGCTCCATAGCTGCCTTCTGGGGCTTTGTGCCACCTCTCTTAGTTCTTCTGTGTTGGATCTCCTACTGCCTGGATCTCAGCCCTTCCTCCTTTTTCCTGTTTTATTCCCTCATTTTGGTTACTTGCATCATCTGATAGCTTCCAGCGAAAGGGACTATGGGAGGTAAACTTTGTTGTGACACTGTATCCTTCTGAAAATATTGATTCTTCACTCATATTTGATTGGTTTAGGTATAGAATTCTAGGCTGGAAATATTTTTCCCTTAGAATTTTAAAGGCATTGCCCCACTATCTTCTAACTTCCAGGTGTTGCTGTTCATAAGTCATTTTGTTCTCTTTTGTTTTGAGTCCATGAATATGATATTTTTACTCTTTATATAAATTACCTGTTTGCTACCACTCCCTGGCTCAACCTGTCTCCTCTGCCCATTTTCTGTGCTTCTGCTAGAGGATGTTAGAGCCTGAATTATAGCTCTTATCTTTTTTTTCTCCATTTGTTCCTCTCTCTTTTTTAAAAAAATATATTTATAACTTCTTTTTCTTTTCTTTCTTTTTTTTCCCCTAGTAAAGTTTCTGCATGTAATGTTCCTCTCTTTTTGTTCTACTCTTTGGGCAATTTCATTAACTTTTTAAAAACTTGATACATAATAGATGTACATATTTTCAGGGTACATGTGATATTTTGATACATTCATATAATATGTAAAGATTCAATCTGGGTAATTGGAATATCCATCACTGTAAATATTTATCTTTTCTTTGTGCCAAGAGCATTTGAATTATTCTCTTATAGCAATTTAAAATGTGCAATAGATTATTGTTAATTATAGTCACCCTACTGATCTATCAAAGACTAGGTTTTATTTCCTCTAGCTAACTGTGTATTTGTACCCATTAATCAACTTCTCTTCATCCCCTCCTTCACCTCCACTGCCTGGCCTCTAGTAACTACCAATCTGTCTTCATGAGATCTGCTTTCAACTTTGTTAACTTTATCTTCTTACCCTTTCTATTAAATTTGAAAACTTTAACTCTCTCTTGTTCACTGATTGCTTCTTTTATATATGTATATGGCATTTCTGCTCTTATTTTTACATGTTCTCTTAGCTCTCCAAGGATTTTTCTATTTTTAAGTTTTCTTCTGCTTTTCACATTGTTTCCCTGAATTCTCCTCCCCCACCCATTTTTTCTGGTTTTTTTTTTGTGTGTGTGTTTTCAGGCTAAAGAGGGTTGGGGGAGGGGATTCATGAGTTTAACCGCTTTATATATGGACTTCTAAACAGTTTCCCTGCCTTCATCTCCCTGCCTTTCTCCTTCCAGCTGAGTATCTGGTCCCTCCAGGACCTGAACTTTTGGGGGGGACAAGTAGAGTGAATTCTTGCACTTTTGTTTATATTTTTCTCTTCAAGTATTTAAGTCCCAGCTTCCTCCACTCTGCTAAGTTTGTTCCCACTCCATCCCTAAAGGTTGTTGACCCAGGAATCCCCTATTATCTGCTCTCTTGTCCTCTTTGTCTTTGTGGTTTTAAACTATTTTTATTCCTTTATTTTCATCTTAGTGGAGTTTGAAGATAAATGCATGTGTGTGTTTGGTCTGCCATGTTTGACAGAAAGTCTCAACCTTTACTTATTTATTTATTTTTTTGAGACAAAGTCTCACTCTTTTGCCTAGGATAGAATGCAGTGGTGTCATCATAGCTCACTGCAACCTCATACTCCTGGGCTCAAGTAATCCTCCTGCCTCAGCCTCCCAAGTAGCTGGGACTATAGGCACAGGCCACCTTGCCTGGCTAATTTTTCTATTTTTAGCAGAGATGGTGTGCTCAGGCTGTTCTTGAACTCCTAATCTCAAGTGATCCTTCTGCCTCAGCCTCCCAGAGTGCTAGGATTACAGGTGTGAACCACTGCACCCAGTTCATTCATTATATTTTTGATTATTCTTAATTGAACTCTCAAAAAATATCTCTAAATTCCTCTTAAGGGTAACTTGCTATTTTCTTTATGAATTTTTCCTGTGTAAAAGTAGTTAACTCAGTGAACAAATAAACTGCACTACTGTACTACTACTACAGCGTACAACAAGGTGTACTAAATCCATTATTATTAATAATGCTGTGATTTCAGGCCGAGCACGGTGGCTCACGCCTGTAATCCTAGCACTCTGGGAGGCCGAGACGTTCGGATTGCTCGGATTGCTCGAGGTCAGGAGTTCGTAACCAGCCTGAGCAAGAGCGAGACCCCGCCTCTACTATAAATAGAAAGAAATTAATTGGCCAACTAATATATATAGAAAAAATTAGCTGGGCATGGTGGCGCATGCCTGTAGTCCCAGCTACTCGGGAGGCTGAGGCAGCAGGATTGCTTGAGCCCAGGAGTTTGAGGTTGCTGTGAGCTGACGCCACGGCACTCATTCTAGCCTGGGCAACAAAGCAAGACTCTGTCTCAAAAAAATAAATAAATAAAAAATAATGCTGTGATTTCTCCCACAGCGGTGGGAGGGGCACTGTGGGTTGATGAGCTACGATGATGCCACTGCACTCTAGCCTGGGTGGCAGAGCAAGACCCTGTCTCAAAAACAAAAAATAAAACAAAACAAAATCAAATAAATAAGTAAAGAACAAACCTCTCTGTACCCACATTCCCTTCTCGCTACTACCCCATTTCTCTTGCTTCCCGTAGTAGACACTAAAGTGGCCCCCAAAGATACATTCACTTTCTAATCACAGGAACCTATGAATGTTACTTTAATGTGGCAAAAGATATGATTAAGTAAAGGTCTTGAGCGGAGGAGCTTATTCTGGATCATCTAGGTGGGCCCTGAATGCCATCACAAGTGTCCTTATGAGAGAGAGAGACAGAGGATGACACACACACAGAGGAGGAGGCAATGTGATCTCAGAGGACAGCCTGGAGGGATGTGGCCACAGGTCAAGGAATGCTGACAGTCACCAGAAGTCGGAAGAGGCAAAAAATGGATCTTTCCCCAGAACCTCTGTAGGAAGTGGGACCTCTGCCAACACCTTGGTTTTAGCTTTCTTCTCCAGAGCTGTGGGAGCTTTTGTTTTAAGCCACCCAGTTAGTGGTAATTTGTTATAGCAGCTCTAGGAAACTAATACACTCATCCTTACAGCAGAACTTCTCCAAAAATTGTCTATGCTTGTCTTCTCTAAATCTTCTCCATTCTTTTGGTTTGTTATTTAATTTCTTTTCTTTATTTTTCTTTTCTTTCTTTCTTTCTTTCTTTCTTTCTTTTTTTTTTTTTTTTTTTTTTTTTTGAGACAGCGTCTTGCTCTGTTGCCCAGGCCAAAATATAGTGGCATCATCAAAGGTCACTGCAACCTCAAACTCCTGGGCTCAATTGACCCTCCTGCCTCAGCCTCTCAGGTAGCAGGGATTACAGATGCACATCACTATACCCAGCTAATTTTTAAATTTTTTGTAGGTATGGGGTCTTGCTGTATTGCCCAGGCTGGTCTCAAACTCCTGGGCTCAAGTGATCCTCCCACCTCAGTTCTTTTGATTTTAGTTTTTTAATTCTTTTTCTGAGAGAGCTTGTTAGAACACATCTATTCTTTTTTTTTTAATTTTATAATTTTCTCTTTTTAATTTTATTTTTTTCTTTATATTTTTTATACTTTTTCAGAAGGAAAAGTTGGCGAACATCTATTCTTTTTTATCCAACTTCTTATATGTTTATATTTTTATTTATCCAACTTTTAAATATTTTAATATATACAGAAAACTTGAAATATTAAAACAATGAACAACTGAATATCCTCTTCCTAAATTTGATAGTTGATAACAGTTTGCAGTATTTGCTTATTTCTATATACTTGAGCATATATCTTCTAAGAATACTGTCTCCTATATATCTATAATACCCAAGTAAAGTAAAGTTTTGAAGTTTTAATTTAACAAATTAAAAGTTAAGATTAATTCCTTAATATCATCTAATATTCCATCTGTATTCAAATGTCCTACCTTGTTCCTAAAATATCTTCTATAACTTCTTTCCCCTGTCCTAGCATCCTTGCTTGTGGAATGTGGTTGCTAAATCTTTTTAATCTACATCAGCATCCATCTTATTTTGTTTTTAACAACTTTGACTTTTTTAAAGAATTCAGGCCAGTTTATTATAGACATCCCACATTCTAGATTTACCTGGTTGTGTCCTGCTGATGTCATTTAGTCTGTTCTTCTATCTGCTGTAATTTCTGTAGTTCTTCACCTGGAAGTTGGGGCTAGAGGCCCTGGCTTCTCTTTCTCTGTTGCATTCGTCACCCTCTGATTCAGCTTTCCTCCTGGAGTTGTTTATTATCTATCTGTGCACATTAGGATGTTAGCTTCATGAGAGCAGCTGTGCACCGTGTGCCTTGTGTGTCTGTCTGGTTACTTGCTCTAGTCTGGTGTCTAACCAGCACATAGTAGGCACTTGGCATGTATTTGCAGAATGAATCAGTCCATCATATTCAGTGACTTTCCCGGTCTCAATGCTATTTAACATCTATTGAGAAATTGCTGTAATAATTCACTGTTTCTTAGAATATCTCACATTTTTGTAAGCATCAAAAGCCTGAAAATGTCTTTATTCCATACTTGTGACTTGTTAAGGTACAGAATTTTCTCTGATCAGCGTGACATGTGCGCCTTTGTTTTCTTCCTTCCAGCGTGGCCCTTGAGAGTCCAGAACTATTTTTATATTGAGCCAGTTGCACGACCAGGTGTTCTGTGTATGAGGTGCACATCTCTGCTATTTCTGCTTCTTTATGGTGCAGAAGCTGAGAGCTTGCTCTTTCTTCCATTCTCTAGGAGCTCCGATCTGATCATTAAGCAATAAAGTAGAAGGCCGGCCGCGGTGGCTCACGCCTGTAATCCTAGCTCTTGGAAGGCCGAGGCGGGCGGATTGCTCAAGGTCAGGAGTTCAAAACCAGCCTGAGCAAGAGCGAGACCCCGTCTCTACTATAAATAGAAAGAAATTAATTGGCCAACTGATATATATATAAAAAAAAAATTAGCCGGGCATGGTGGCTCATGCCTATAGTCCCAGCTACTCGGGAGGCTGAGGCAGGAGGATCGCTTGAGCCCAGGAGTTTGAGGTTGCTGTGAGCTAGGCTGACACCACGGCACTCACTCTAGCCTGGACAACAAAGTGAGACTCTGTCTCAAAAAACAAAACAAAACAAAACAAAAAAAACAATAAAGTAGAGATACTGGGTGTGAGCAGAGTTGTAAAGATAAGTTGCAGACAGCTCAAACCTAGTAGTCGGACCTTCTTGACAAATGACAGTGATAGCTCACGTTTACGGAATTCTTGTAATAATCAGAATAATTTAATAGGCACCATGCTAAGCCCTTTACCTGTTCTCTATCATTCAATCCTTCCAACAGCTCTTGGAGATAGGAAGTATTATTCTATCAACTCTACCAACTAGGAACTGCCAGAGCCAGGCCAGGAGCCAGGCAGCCTGACCCCAGAGCCGCACTGGAAACAGCTCTGCTTTACTGCCTCCTCCGTTCTTACTGCACAAGCCCTGCAACTGGGCTTCCTAGCCTGCCAAAGCAGGTCTGCGATGGTGCTGGGGGTGGGGGGATGGGGAGTGAGGCTGTGTAACAACCCTTCCATTCATTCAGCAAATGCTGTTGAATGAGCGCTTCAGTGGCAAGTATTTAAGAACATAAATGCCAAAAAACAATGATGTTTATTTTGTTTCCCAGATCGCTGCCTGCCCGAGATCCTCACTCCTAGCCTCCTCTGGAAACTCTGAGAGTCAAGGAATTGTCTTTTATAAGCGGCCTGCACAGGCACAAGGTCAAGACGTGGGCAGTTTTCGGTTGCATGAAGGTCTCTCAGATTGTAGCACACAGTATACAAATTATGAACGAAATAACCAAATTTGTTCCTTGGCTGGATTACTTTTTCTCCTGGGATATCAGATGCATTCCACCAAGGCCACTGGAAGAAAAGTGAAGATCAAGCCACCATAACAAATGTCAACCACCTCGTAAGTGGAGATATTTTCAATTTTTAGGTAACTAGAGCTTTGCATATATAATATCCTTTTCTACTAAAATGAATCAAAACACATACAATCCAGGGAATTGAGTGCTCCTGAGTGATATTATATATTTTTATTATCTTAGTCTTTCTTTGTATATTCCCAAATGTCTTTGTTTCTTGTAATAGTGTGTTTTTTGGCTTCTGTTAAAATACCCTCTTAGTTGATGCCATTAATTCATTCAGCAAACATGGAGCACTTACTGTGTGCTAGCTGGAAATGTATGAGACCAGATTCTTGCCCTTGGCTTGCTGTCTCATGGTGAGCTGTCTCAGCAAGTAGATCACGATGCTTTGTAAGATGGGCTAGAAGGGCTATGTGCTACGTGTGTTAGGAGCCACAGAGGAGGAAGGGCCTGAGCTCAGGGGCTGCTCAGGGGGTGATCAGAGAAGGCTTCTGGTGGAGGTGACCATTGGGGCTGGACTTAGAAGGGTGAGCAGGAGTCAAGCAGGTGAATGTGGAGGACAGACATGCTAAGCAGCAAGAATAGTCTTGCCGAGGTACGATGACAGGAAACGGTGTGGCTTGTTTGGGGAAAAGGGAAGAAAAGGGGTTTGGTGTGGTTGGAGCACAGAGAACCTTCTAGAGACTGGTGGGATGTGAGCCTGGGGCCAGACTGGGGAGAGCCTGAAAGGCAGGATGAAGGAATTTAGACTTTGTGCTGTGGGTGACAAGGAGGATGGTACCATCGGATCTGTGCTTCACGTAGAGAAGTCACCATGCCAGAGATGGAGCCATCTGGACGCGGCCAGTGTGTGCTCAGTAAAGCGGAGATGTGATTATTAGATCATGATAGTAAATAGCTCAGGGCAGAGAGGACGAGGTTATGGACTAAGGCGGAGAGTGGAAATAAAAACAAGGGGATAGGTTTGAGGGGGTTTTAGAAGTCCCGTTTAGCAGGATTGGCTGATTGATTTTGAATGGTTGGCAAGGAAGGGGACACCAAGCTTATAGACAGCAAAGCTGACTTGGATCATCAGACACTTGTACCATCCACCCTAGGTGCCTTGCACGCATTATCCCATTTAATCCCCCTGGCCTTCCAAGAGGGATTGTTACTACCCGCATTTTATAGGTGAAGGTGTTGGAGCCCGCCCAGGGTGGTCAGTGAAAATGGCAGAGTTAATATGGGTGGTTGGTCGTGAGTGGTGGAGTGAGGCAGACCTGAACCCAAGCAGGAGCTCCCCCAGCTGGCTGGCCCGTCAGTGCCAACTGATTGGTAGATGAAGTGTTGCCCTAGGAAGCAGTTAATGAGTGGCTGGTTTGGGCTTGGAACCCACTGGATCCACCTACTGCTTCGGAGAGCTCATGATCAGCCAGGTGCCGCATCGGGCTGTAGACAAGTTATGCTTGGCCCATAGAATATCTTAAGACCATTTCTTAGAACGAATTGCTAACTTTCTAAGAATCCAGAGATTGATTTCCAGCTTTTCTTGGAAAATGAGATCTGGCCTCACTGGGCCTATGTAGCAAGTGGAGCTGCCTGTCTGTGTTTCCTACAGCTGGGCCCGGCTGGCCTGCCTGGGCCCCCTCCTACCTCCACAGGCATCTGACTTTTCGTCTCTGCTGTCCCATCGTGAGGTGTACCTCTCAGCTCGGGTATGAGGCCAAGCTGTGCTTTCGCATTTAATCTGTGTCAAGCCCAGGCCTCCATTGATGGCTAAATACTCTTTTTGAAGTTCGGGGAATGTAAGATAAAAACATGCTGTGGGAATTGAGAAAAACTAAATACCCACCCACGCATGAGCACCCACAGGGAGGAGGACTGTAAAGGTAGCACAGGACAAAGGCAATGGTCGTAGTTCCTGAAACCAGCACAAATGGGAACAAAATATCAATCATACCATGGAAAATGGCAGAAGTCATGGCCCGTTATCAGTATACAAATCATGTTAGGATTTTTTGGGTTTAATTTGTTTTGTAATGAATAATTTGCTTGAATTTTGAGCTGTGTGCTTTGGACAGATTATAAGGACACTTTGGGGAAGATACGTGCACAGGTGCGGGTGTGTGTGTTGGGGGCCAGCCATAGTTTACAAAGCTTGGAATTTTCTACAGAAATTCGGTTTCAGAACATTTTTAGAAAGCTTTACGATTTATTAAAGGTTGAAAACATGTTTCTGTACCATTAAGTTAAAATGCAAGGCCCACAGTGACAAACAGGTATTTGTATTAAATATTTTGTTCCAGGCCAGGTGCAGTGGCTCACACCTGTAATCCTAGCACTCTGGGAGGCCAAGGTGGGAGGATTGCTCAAGGTCAGGAGTTTGAAACCAGCATGAGCAAGAGCAAGACCCCACCTCTACAAATATAGAAAAAATTAGCCGGGCATGGTGGTGCATGCCTGTAGTCCCAGCTACTCGGGAGGCTGAGGCAGGAGGATCCCTTGAGCCCAGGAGCTGGAGGTTGCTGTGAGCTAGGCTGATGCCATGGCACTCTAGCCGGGGCAACAGAATGAGACTGTCTCAAAAAAAAAAAAAAAAGAAAAGAAAAGAAAAATATTTTGTTCCATTTAAAATGTAACAATAATCCCTTGTGGCCATGGTCAGGTTGGACAAATGGCCACATTTCGTGTTTGTGTGAGTTTGTTTGTTTGCAATCTGTAAACTGCACTTAGAGAGATACGTTAAAAAAAAGTGCAATAAGCCGAGTTGACTAAAGCTGCAGGAGTGGATTCCTAATCCGTCTTCTTTGTGTCGTACCTGACAACTTTCCATCATGCCTCGCTGCCTGGTTCAGGAACTTGTTCTCAGGAGCCTTTTTTACACAGATCACATGGGTCTCCCAAGGCCATGCTCTGCTGCCCCTGGACTCTGACCCTGCCCAGCAAACCTCCTTCCTCCTTCCTCTCCTCCTCAGAGACTCCCTGCCCCCATGTGCACACCTAGGGTGGGACCCGGACGTGTATTGTGGCAAGTTCTTCTGTTCTTGTTTCTTATTGATACAGACTGTGTATCAACACTAGGTCTGCATCAGACTGTGCCTAACCCTAGTTGTTTAGCACCATGCTGAGAGCTAGGGATACAACAGACAGGTGCCCTACCTAGGGGACGAGAGGAACACATGCAGGGAGTAATTGGTGAACTAGGTAGCACTTTGTTACAGTTCTCTAACAACTGATATTTTATCGGAGTCACATTATAATTTGAAATGTGGCCTAAAAAGGCTAGGGTTCTCAAAAGATCCAGCCAAGTTCACGATAAAGTTCTACTCCTTACTCATTCATTTAACAAATATTTATTAAGCACCTGCTATTCATCAGGTGCATTCCAGATGTCAGTATTATAACAGAGAACAAAACTGGCAAATAGCCCTGTTCTCTCGGGGCTTACATTATCACGGAAAGAAACAAAAAAGAATGTTGATGTGTAATATGTTCTAAGAATTTTGAAGAAAAATCAAGCAGGGGAAGGGAGGGAGGATGGTGGGGAGGTGGACTGCTCTTTGAGGAAGGCCTTTCTGATGAGTGACTCTTGAAGCAGAACCCAGAGGAGGTGAGGGGAAGTGGGTTGCTGCTGGAGGAAGTCCTTTCCAGACAGGAGAGTGCCAAGGACAGAGCCCTCCACCCCAGGCGGGGAGTGTGCCTGGTCTGTTTGAGGACTAGGAAGTCACTAACTGATCTACAGTCCTTATTTTTCCTTGTCTGCAGGCCCATGGGCTTGTTGGGGGGAACCAATGAAATAGTTTATGTGAAAGTATTTCAGGGGTCCTCAAACTTTTTAAACAGGGGGCCAGTTCACTGTCCCTCAGATGGTTGGAGGGCCCTTGGAGAGCGCGGCACACATTCCACACATGCGCACTGTGGGCCCGGGACGAGTCAGCTGCTAAGCAGGACAGGCAGTGGCAGCAAAAACACTCGGCAGGCCAGATAAATGTCCTTGGCGGGCCACACGTGGCCCGCAGGCAACAGTTTGAGGATGCCTGATTTATGTAAACCTTCAAGCACTGTATATAAGTTATTATTTTTATGTTGACTTTATCAAGTATTTGTAGAGTATCTAAATCATCAAGGGTCATAATTATTATATTACAATTTTGCCCTTTCATTTTTTTATTGAGGTGAAATTCACATAATGTATAATTAACCATTTTAAAGTGTACAATCTGTAGTATTTAATGTATTCACAATGCTGTGCAACCACCACCTCTCTCCTCTCTCTAGTTTCAAAATGTTTTCATCACACCTGTTCTTTCTTTCTTTTTTCTTTTTCTTTCTTTCTTTTTTTTTTTTTTTTTTTTTTTGAGACAGGGTCTCACTTTGTTGTCCAAGCTAGGGTTCAGTAGTATGATCATAGCTCACTGTAGCCCTGAACTCCCAGGCTCAAGCAATCCTCCTACTTCAGCCTCCCAAGAAGCTAGGACTATGGTTGTGCAACACCACACGTTGCTAATTTTTAAATTTTTTGTAGATACAGGGTCTTGCTGTGTTGCCCAGGCTGGTCTCAAATTCCTGGCCTCAAGTGAACCACCTGCCTTGGCCTCCCAAAGTTCTGGGATTATAGGCATCAGGCATGCCTGGCCTCATTTTTATTATTTTATTTTGTTTTATTTTTGAGACAGAGTCTTGCTCTGTTACCCCGGCTAGAGTGCTGTGGCATCAGCCCAGCTCACAGCAACCTCAAACTCCTGGGCTCAAGCGATCTTCCTGCCTCAGCCTCCCGGGTAGCTGTAACTACAGGCATGTGCCACCATGCCCAGCTAATTTTTTCTATATAGATTTTTAGCTGTCCAGCTAATTTATTTTTATTTTTAGTAGAGACGTGGTCTCGCTCTTCCTCAGGCTGATCTCGAACTCCTGACCTTGAGCCATCCTCCTGCCTCAGCCTCCCAGAGTGCTAGGATTACAGGTGTGAGCCACCGTGCCTGGCCCCAGCCTCATTTTTAATGTTGATTTGTGTTACTACTCTTGAAATAGGATTTTTCCCCCATATCTCACTTTCTCCTTT